ACATTAGTGTCTTGAAGACGAGATTATTTAACGAAATGTCATTATTAAAAATACTAAGTTGAAAAAAGTCAGACATGCGTATCTTTTCTTTAGCTTTATAAACAGCTAATTAACTAGTTAAAGTTAGTTTCAGCGTCACAGTTTATGCTGAAAACTAGGATTTATTTGCTGGAGGAGACTATAGATTCGTCCAATTTGTCTTTCTGGAATGTAGTAGAGGCCAAGTTTATCTTCCAAACATTATGTTTGTCAAGTTATTAACATCTCTTTACAGTATGGAGAAAAAAAGGGATTTGGGCATTAGCAAGCTCCTTTGCTTCCTGTTTAGGTATTGCTGATCCTGAGAAGGATCTTTAAATGTCAAAAAGTGCTCCCAGAATGACTGTACTGAAAGGTTTTTCACTAATTGTTTAGCAGTTTAATTTCATCATTAAAAAACACCCCCACAAAAAAAAATCCCACATGCCACAGATTTTCCCCACGTTGAGTGAAATCTGTGGGGCATCTGCACCACATGATCCTTCCCCTACTTCAGTTTACAAGAGGGAAAGGAAAGTTACAGATTGGACTTTTGCACTCTGCATAGCAGTGGAACCAGTGCATTCTACCTACCAATGGTGCAGACCAGGCTTAGGGACTGCTTGGTCACATTATGGAATCCAGATACTATTCAGGGCAAGTGTGCACTACAGTGCTACATCGGCGCAGCTGCACTGATGCAGCTGTAGCATGTCTGGTGAAGACATGAGCGTCTCCTGCCGACATTGCTGGTGTGGACAGCGCATAACTTGCGTTGCTTATGGGGAGGGGGTTTCACATCCCTGCGTGATGTAAGTTAGATCGATACTGTAGAGCTGCCCAAGAGTTACCTGAATTCGTGTGTGAATTGGTGAGAATATATGTGGCCCAATGATTGATGTTAATATCTGGGGTACTTACCTTTTATTAGTTTGCTGCTTCCTGGAACTAGACTTTACATCCCCATCTATCCTTCAGCACATTCAATAAGCTATTACTTGGTTTTATCCAAAACTTGGTTTCATTTCACCAGAAGGAGAATTAACTCAGAAGCCAATCCAGAGAGCCTCCGCTAGGCCAGATCCTCAACTGTTCTTCAGGAGCTGTAGTCAGTTCCGTCGCACAGGTTGGGGCAGCTATTGTAACCTGCATTAGCTTCCCTAAAGGACTATTTTGGGAACCAGGGACTTCAGGACTCCTCTGTGCTGTGGCAGCTCTATACCATCTGATGACATCTTCCCCCAACCCCATATAGGTTTTAGAGATGCTGTGTGGCAATAGAGCAGCATAGAATGGGTGGAACACAGCACACAATTGGGATCATTGACTTTAATAGGGTTACTTCCAATTTATAAGTATAACTGCTGACTAGGGCCCCACTATCTCACACCACACAAGCAAATAAACCGGAGTCCAGGGCTTCTGCTCTTCTTTAGGCTACAAGGCTGTAAGTTCCATGGAAGGCATGTGGGATGCAAGTTTGATTTGCAATATAAAGGTTGAATTTCCTTAGCATTTTTGGCTGTGTCTAGCACCTATTAATAAGTAATGACATTTAAGCTCACTCATTTGAATTGCACATAAGTTAATATTACTGCTTGTGCATTGGATGTTATGGAAACCACAACTCATAGGCTTGAGGAGTTGGCAGTGTAGTGATTCATTAGCATCAATAATAATTGGTCAATGAAGACCTATTCTTGAACTCAGAAAATACTGCTTTCTTGGTTTCACTTAAAAAAACCCACAGATTTAAATATTATTTTTAATGACAAATTTGGCTGTTGGGTTGGTAGCAGAAGTATTTTGCCAAGTTTTAAAATGAATACAAACTATTTAATTTGACATTTTTATCTTGGATGCAAGTAGGTCCACATGTGCATTTTATCATTCCAAACATATCCAGTTTTGGGTAGACTTTCACTGCTATTGTGGACATAAAAATTCCTAAATATGACTGCTGAGGCCAGTTATTGTCAATCAGATTTGCACATTGCTAAGCTCACCTCTTCAGTTATGTAAAACCCTGTACAAACAGATTGCCAAATGGCTCAAGAGAACAAGTTTGTGGCTGCCTATCATGGGGTACTCACTCAGTGCCAGTGGTGTCTCCTCCCAGCTGCCCTGGGGAATAGCTGTCCAGTGCCTCCCCCTGTGGTCTCTCCTCCATTTTCTTCTCTCTCTGCAACCCCTCTCTCGCTCCAGAAGTTGCAGCTTCTTTTTTGTGACTCAGCCAGCCAGGTCACTATGGAGACTCTCCTTCTGGGGAAAAGAGTCACACTGGACCTGCTGCCCAAGATCTGCCACTTTATCAGTGGCTGGTAAGGGAACCCAGGCCCACCCACTACCCCAGGTTCCAGCCCAGGGACCCTGCAATGTAGTGCAGCCAAGCTCTACTCAGTTTTCAACCTTGCTCCCTACTCTGCCTCCCATAGGTTTTCTTCCACCAGCACCAGAATCAGGCAGGTCAGGGTACCATGCCCACTTTTTAAGATGGACATAGTTTGGGGAGGCAGGGAGGCATTGCCCCTCTAAACTGCAAGGCTTGGGAAAGTGCAGAGTGGCTCCAGCAGGGGCTGCGCTTTGCAGTGGGGGAGCTGATCGCAATGCTGCAGATGCTGGATGGCAGCTGGTGGGAAGAGCAGGAGGAGGATGTGCTGCACAGCTGGTTCCTAGGGAGCTATGTGCCACCGCTCGAGGTAGCAGACCAACTACCTGGGGGTAGGGGAGGAAATGCAGGAGTTAGGGGAGAAGGGGCACAGGAATCTGATTTTGGCCTGGCCTCCCCTCTCTTCTACAAAGATTCCAGTGCCTTTGTTTTCCTCTTCACCCCTCTCTCTCCTAAGTCCACCCTTCTCTCGGGATTAGGTTCCTACTCTTTCCTCTCTAGTACACAGAGGGTGGCTGCAGACTTCCTGGCTGTAGCCTTTTCTGTTGCCAGCTTCCTGAGTTCATACTAGCCCAGCCCACACCCGTTCAGCTGAGCTTCTTCCACCAATCGTGTTGCTTCTTCAGCCTAAACCCCTCATATGTGGTCTATCACACTAATTGGTCCTTCTCAGCTTCCTTTTGGTGCTGGTGTAGGATGAAGACCCCATCATACTGCCTACGGACTTCTAGTCAACACTAATGGCACTGTGTTGTGTATAACATTCACCTGGAACTTTGTGGTGAGAACAAAGATACAACTCAGATCCTCCTGCTCCAGAAGACCTTGCCAGTTGAATTACAAGAGAATGTCTGTTAGCAGTATAGAGCATATGACACACAGTTGAGCAGCTGATTCCATCCTGAAGAAGTAGTGGAACACAATCACAACAGCCTGTGCATTACAATGTATTTCATTTCAAACTCCTTCTTTTGCATGTTTGTGACAAGTCCAAATTCTTTTCCAGCATCTGAAAGTAGGCCATCAAGTTACAGATAAACCACTTTTGCAAGGTTGTGATTTAGCACATTAGACATAACTTCACTTTTTTAGCAGATATAACTCTCATCTGTGGCACATGTTCTGCTTAAGACTCTCCTGGGAGCATGGCAAATTGTTCTTACCTTGCTTCCCAAAAAAAGACAAAAGTCCTAGACAGTGCAGTCAGGATAATGGATCACTATTGGTATGGTTTTTCATTTAGGAAGGAAATTAACTAACTTAATATAATGTTCAGATTCACAGTTCTTCCAATATATTATTTTGTTCTTGTGTCATGGGAGGGTCTGTTGGGCAAATTACCTCTCTGTAAAGTCTTTTCTTCTTTGAAATAACTGCTCCTTTAGCTTTAAGAAGCTGGACTTCATGTTTTTCTTAACTCGCCTAACACATTGACTGAGCCCTACTTTGCAGTATTAATGCTCCAAGTTTAGGGCACACTTCAACTCAGTTCTATTTAATAGGGTTCTTGGAATATGCTTTTCATACACAGCTTAGTATTCCTTTTGCTCTGTGTTGTGCCCCTCACTTAACACAGCTTTCAAATACATTCAAATGAAATATAAAGTTGTCATCTATAGTTAGCAAAAGCCAATGTAAATTTTGTCCAAATAAGATCAGTAGGATTTGACTCTATGTAAAATGTGTGGGTGGTCCTAGTGCAGTTTCTAATGAATAGATATCCACAATAACCACCATCAGAATTGACATCTTTGCTGACAATCGTAACACAGAGGCCAAAGAATGAATAGGCATGGAGTATAAAGAAGTCTCTCAATCCTACAGGTGATCCTTAGAAGCCAAGGTTAAGACTCATTGGTAGGCTATTATGGAGAAAGCAGTATTGCTATTCATGCTCTTGTATGGGTGAAGGTTTTCAGTATCCAATATGGCATACTGCACCTGCACTAACTTCACTTAAAAAAACCACAACCAAACAGACTAAAGCCATCAACATCTTTCATCAATTAGTTTGCTCTTGCAGAAAGAACAAGACAATTTGCACGCTCTTAACGTTAAATCATCTTGACTGTAGTTTGTTGTTTTTTTTACTTGCTGCAGGAAGCATTATTTTAACATTCTGATTAGATACAGAACTAGTTTGATGGAATAATTTTGCGTAAGTAGAATATTTTGTGTCAAGCAAATCAGCAAGATTATAGCGGTTCAAAGCATAGCACTTTACATTCTGTTAGTATTGTGTAATTCTTACTGGCATATGTCTAGTTAAAACATTGTAATGTATTTATGTCAGCATTGTGTTAGAGAATTTAGCAAAGGCACTGCAGCAAGAAAATGAAATCTAAATTTTAAATAGAGCTTCTTGGATTACATTAAATTGATAATATGGCTGCTGCATCATAAACTTTTTTTTTTAAGATTAATATGTGGAGGCTGTGAACACAGAAGTGTTGTGAAAATGGTTTGCTTGAGTTTGTATTTCAGAACTCCCATGGAACCACCACTTCTGCCTTATTATTGGATTTTCTGAGCTATAGCTTAGTGAAATATTAAACCGTACTATGCATGTAATTTCTGTTTTTTGTTTTAACAGGATAAAAGATGCTTAGGTTTGAGAGTACGGCAAAGCAGCTAGCAAAATATTCTTCTAGGCCACTATGGAGACGACTATGTGCAGCCACTACAAATATACCAGTGTTAACTTTGTTCACCAAGGTAAAAAATTAGTTTGTAAAGCCAGACAGGAGGGCCTAAATATCAGCCTTCCAGGAACTGTAGGTTCAAATAGATCCCAGACGGAAAGGCTCAGCCCTTAATCTTTTAGAGGTAGAGAGATTTAGTTCCATGCAGCTTACTGTGTGGGCATTGTTTGGGTGAGACCTTATAGTTTGGTTCTACTCTATGACTCTAGAAGTGGCGAGAGGGAGCTGTAGGATTATTGTGGCTCAGTGACTCCTTAGCCTGTGGACCCAGTTTACAAGTTAAAAGTTCTTTTATTTAAGAATATGTCTACACAGCAGCTGGGAGGGCGCTTCTCAGCATAAGCAGACAGGCATGCTGGCTCTGCTCAAGCTAGCTTGCTAAAATTACAGTGGGGCCATAGTGGCATGGAAGGCTGCTTGGGCTAGCCACCCAAGTACAATCATGCCCAACCCCCACGTACATATTTGGATGGGTAGTCCAAGCTACTGCCAGTGCTGTCACGGCCACACTATCTTTAGCACATTAGTTCAAATAAAGCTAGCACAAGTGCCTGCCCATACCGGGAAGCACCCTCCCAGCTACTGTGTAGAGTACACCTTAAGTGGCTTGACCTGGGATTGGAAGGTAAAGGTGAGTTCTTTATTTATCATATATCTCTATCCTAACAGAAGTGTTGATGGCCAATTAGGCCCTCAATGACACCTGGGCAAAATCCGTGTCAGTCGGCCTGAAAAGGTTTAACGTTAGTTCTATCAATGATACACCAAGAGAAATAAAACCCAACCATTCCCTCTTTGCTTTGGTGGCTCTGCAGTGCTAACAGGAGTAAAAAGCAATAAGTAGTTTCTGTCTGAAGATTGAGCAGATAGGACTCTGAATGCACCCAGCAAGCACATCAGTTAAGCAGGAATGGGAGCTATTTGTATATAGTCACATTTCAGTGTAGAACTTTAACTGAGATCCTGTGTTCTTTGCAGAAGTATTAATGATCCCACTTCACTTTTCATAGGAAGGAGTTTCATTTGGTGCCTTTGGCTAAAGTTTTACCTTCTGTACATTGTTTTTGTGGCATGTTAGTTATTGATTTTGATTGGCGATCCCTCGATTCGAGGATGATCTCTACCACGTATTTACATATAGGTCCTGAGATGACTCAGGAGTCCGATACTGGTGCATGTATACAGATTGCAAAATGCTCTCAGATGAAAGTTTCTATGTAAGTGTAAACTGTTTTGAATTTTAAATAAAATGAAAAAAGTGTGAATTTTCTGAGAGAAGATGAGGCTTCCTCATCATTGAGTAATGTTTGTTTTTTTCTACCCAACCTGGAAAAAAGTGAAATTATATAACAAAAGTGCAGACTTTCTGGAAAAAGAAAAGTCAGCACTTATTTCTTAATCAGTGGAATGTATGTTATGAGAGGAAACATATTTTAAAGTCCCAGCTCTGTCTCTGCCATCTGATCCAGCACTGTGCTTTTTCATAATCCAAAGGGCAATAACGTAGGCAGTATTGGCATTCATTTTAGAAATTAATAATTGGAAAAAGCTCTTTTGCATGATTATTGTGCATACATACTGATTAGCAATTTGAAATTCTGTGACCAAATTTCTGATAGCAAAGTTGAAACAGTTTTCTAAACTGGCCTCTTTTGTTGAATACATGCTTAAGGTAAAGTTCTTTTCACGTCTCACAGAACGTGTCATAGCACTGGCATTTACAAAACAAGATCTCACTACACTGCAGGCTGCTTTTAATAGACCGATTTGTGCTCTCAGTTTATCCCCATTCACCCCAGGCTTGGGTTCGTTTTTGGTTTTTTTTTTAAGTTAAGGACAGGAGTAAGTATGAATGAGGCTCAGCATAAGTGAGAATGTATTGTATAAATAAAAACTTCTCCTTTCAGCCTCTTCTGTTGCCCAGCACATCTGGATCTCTCTTCTGTATTAAATTCAAATTCTGTTTGCAGCTAGGTCACTTGAACATATATGCAAGCTGCTGAATGTCCCATTAAAGCAGTTTAAAGTCTGTTTGCAGAGACTCTTGGCTAGTCAGAGCACAGAATTATTTCTGGGCATGGTTCTCATTGGAACTCAGTGCTGGCTTTATTAAAGGAGTCAAGTGCCATGACTTGTTTTGTTACTTAGCACTTGTCCACATGCACAGGCTGGAAATGAAATAGCTAAATAGTTTTAGATCCAAACCTTTACTTATTTCAATACAAGGCTTGGTTTATTTAACTGTAGTTCAATCAAAATAATTGACCCTTAATCCAAAATAAATGTCCCCACACAGACTTGCATCAAAATAACTGAAAGTGTGAATTCAAACTGATAAAAGCCTGGTCTAAATACACAGTTTCCCCAGTTAACTTAAAGGTGTGATTCTGCCTTTAATCTGGTGCAAATTTGTGTGTGGACAATCTTATATCAGTATAAACCTGGTTTAAATTGTGCCTGTAAATGTATAGCTACACTGATAGGAGTATCCAAGCACCAAGTTGCACTGTTTTAACTAAGTCAGGTCTTTAACCAATTCAAATTCTAATGGTGCAACCTGCATGCTTAGACAAGCCCTAAGGCCGTGGCTACACTCGAAACTGCAAAGCACTGCTGCGGGAGCGCTTTGAAGTGTGAGTGTAGTTGCGCGCCAGCGCTGGGAGAGAGCTCTCCCAGCACTGCAGGTACTCCATCTCCACGAGGGGATTAGCTTACAGCGCTGGGAGCGGCGCAGCGCTGGGGTACTGTTTACACTGTAACTTGCTGCGCTCAGGGGGGGTGTTTTTTCACACTCCTGAGCAAGAAAGTTGTAGCGCTGTAAAGCACCGTGTAGCCAAGCCCTTAGTAAGGAGAAATGGTGCATCTCTGTCTGCCTTTCTGCCCCTATCAGCTCATTTTACCAGCTCCACTACCTTAGCAATCTTTCTTTCAGTGATAAGCCATAAAGAGTTGAGCATCCCGTAGGTTTAGTTTGAAGAGTCTAGTCTGTTACAACAGATTACATGCAACAAAATTCTGTCAGCCCTTCTCAATAACACATACACTCAGCTGATTCACCATCATCAGCTCTTCCATGAGTTACAAACAACAGCAGCTGCACCCCAAACTTGTCCTTTAGCACCTTGCATAGGGTTTCAAACATTAAGGGTGTGTCTTCACAATCTAGCCTACTTGACCCTACCCAAACTAGCTTGACTCCAGCTGGCACAGGTAACAATAGCAGTGAAGAGAGCACAGCACAGGCAAGTGAGCCAAGTGTGTATCTAGGTAGGGTCCATGCTGCGCTTGTATTATCTGCGCTGAAGCCTATACTGCATTGTCTTCACTGCTGTTACTCACAAGCTGAATTCAATCTAGCTCTGGTAGACTACACAGCAAAAGGTGTGCAGAGGTTAGACATACCCTAAGAAAGCTTTGGGGAGGGAGGAAAGGAATAGACATTTTCCATCTGTGAACAGTACTTCATGGCAAAGAGACAGAACTATCATGTTTTTCCTGACTATATTTTGTGTTCAATTACTATATGCCAAATAATGTACACTGCTGTGTATCTGGAGTGACTCCAGGGAAGTCAATAAAGTTTTCCAGTTATACATTGGGGAAGTGACTGTAGAAATCAACCCTATGACTATCCTATAACTTGCCTTCAGAACCATGCAGCTGTGTCAGCTTTTAGAACTTGCAACATTTCAAAAATATTTTTATTGTAGTCACAAATTAAAGGTAGAGTCAAAAATCTTAGAGGTGTTGACCGGATGAAAAGGGAGATTTCCTTTTTATTACTTATATAAAAAAGAATTTACACTCTTGCAATCTATGCTGTGCAGATTAAAGTGAGATTTTGAAAATGATGTGGCAATGAGGAGAGAACCAGCATTTGGAGTAATGATAGCATGCAACATACCTAGAAACAAGTTAACAGAATAATCTGCATGTCTTATTCTTTTAAGATGATCTGCATATTTTCCTTTAGAACCCGTGCCCTCTGTGTGATGAAGCAAAAGAAGTGCTTGAGCCATATAAAAACAGGGTAATGAAATACAATACTGTGTATATTATATAGAAAGAATAGTTTCTAGGGGACCTTTCTTTGTAAAAGAAAAATCGCTTGATGTTATTTGCATCCATTAGTTTGTCTTGGGCAACCTTTTCAAGAAAGTTTTAGCACTGATTTCCTAAAACTCATTATTCAAAAGTATTTTCAGACTCTGTGGCTCAAGGAAGTGTTAACAAACTAAACCAATGAATACAATGTTGTAGCTATTTAAAAAGCTTTTGCTACTATAACAGGGGTTCTCAAATGGGGGGTTGGGACCCCTCAGGGGGTCATGGGGTTATTATATGGGGGGTCACGCGCTGTCAGCCTCCACCCTGGACCCTGCTTTGCATCCAGCATTTCTAATGGTGTTAAATATATAAAAAAATGTTTAATTTATAAGGGGGGAGGGTTGCACTCAGAGGCTTGCTATGTGAAAAGGGTCACCAGTACAAAAGTTTGAGATCCACTGTACTAGAATATACATATATCTCAGGTTTATAATGCAGTTTGCAGCAAAACTGTTGTGAGACAGGTCCATCAAATATTCTTTGCCCTGTGTCACTTGAGAGTACTTTCCCACCATCCTCTCCAACTAATATTCTGTCAGCTGCCTGTAGTGCACTTTGACCAGTTTTTGAACCCCAGTTGCTTGAATTTAGAGCAAGTGGTGCCAGCAGTAGTAGACACAAAGAAATGCTGCACCCGTGAGCAAAACAGAAAATGCCTGTTGACCCACCTGCAGAAAGAAAATGACTAAGATCATATGTGGTACAGTTTCTCACTGGGAATCCAGGGAACCATGCTGGGCTAAACATTCAGATGGTTGTTGGAAGTACACAAGCAAAGTTTGTGGCTACATCCATTTTCTGCCTGCAAAATCTGTGTTTCCATGCCAGGGCAAATTTACAGGCCTGCTGAAAATGTGACCCATTTTGTTAAAGTAAATCTGAAATGTGATGAAAGACAGCAGCTATTTTTTTTAAAGTGTCCAATGTTATAAAATGTTTAACATTTAGTTCTTTTCTTTCAAAGTTTATTTTGCAGGAAGTGGATATCACCCTTCCAGAGAACGCAGTGTGGTATGAAAGATATAAGTATGACATACCTGTCTTCCATTTAAATGGGCAGTTCCTAATGAAGCATCAGGTAGATGTTAAAAAATTTGAGAACCAGCTTGTGAAGCTAGAGTTTCAAAATGGTGAAAACCAATGAAGGAAATGCAGCTATTCTGAGACTGGATTGAAGGGATTTTGAACAAATGGTTTGAAACTGTTGCATACATTATCAAACCACATTTTCTTTGGAATGTAATGTACATATTTAACATTCAAATTTTAGTTATTTGATTTATATTCCATTTTGTAGTAATGATGAAGCTCATCTGACTGAATAGCAACTCTTCATCTGCTATCCTAGATGGTTTTGTTTTTCAATGAGAGAATAAGTGCTATTCCACAGCAGCAGATAAAATGAAATGCACTTTCAGATCATTAATACACCCTGCACTGACAATAAAGGAATGTTTAAGTTATGTCTGTATGAAGCTTCTTCTGTAAGACTTTCATCCCAAATGCTCATTTTGATGTAGAGGTGAGAGCTGTTATAAGTGGGAAGGGGGATAAAAAAAAATCAAACTTATACTCTTTATAGAATTATACCTTATAGAGACCTGGATTTAATTGTTATTCACTCGTGAAAACTGAATGTTTTTTTTTTTAAATGGGATGAACATGTTACACTTAAGCCTAAAATGTCCGCTTATTGTAAACAGGGAGATTTGAGCTCTTTAGTACTCAAGTAAAAGTATAAGTGAAAGTTAAATTGAACCAAGAGGCCCAATTTTTCCTTAAAATAAGATTAACACCGCAAACATGCCTTTCTGTGCTAGCTGCCACCTTCATGTTACTCTCTGGAATTAAAACACCCTAAGAGTTTCCTTGTAAATCTGCTGGCATGAGATAAGGTAGCTTTTCCCTTAGGCTCAGGCTACACTATTAAAAAGAAAACATGCTAGCATGCGGTTCTCTGCCACAATTAGGGATGCCCCTGTCATACCAGGGCTTTTTCTTAATTTGCCAGGGGGCAGAGAAAACACGATTCTCTAATCGTATTATAGGAACAGTACTTGGATTAAGGGTTAACAGTCTTTTCGGTAGTGTAGATTGGCCCTTACGTTCTCTGACAGAACACAAGAAAATGACATTTTAGTCCCATCTGTGACTTCACTGTATCTTAATTTAGGACTGGCAAGCTTCTACTAGTGCATTTTTGCATCACAGAGCAGAAAAGAATAATGTGGGTAGATAGAACTCTTTAAATATATTTAAGTAGGAGGATGAATTGAGAAAGTTAATTGTTGTCCTTTAGGCTGAACAGTCCATAGTACTAACTAAATAGTACTGGAAAAGTGATTTTTTTCAGTCTATTTAATCAATCCATCCATCCAAAAAGTAACGTAATTACTACATTTCTGTTTTCTTCAGCACTGTTGTATCTGAGCACCTTCCAGAATTAGGAAATTAAACAAGAAGCCTGTCTTATCAAAAGGTGGGTCTTCTTCATTTTCAATCCTTAAGAAAATTCCAAACAAGGACACACACACACTAAGCACCAGACAGACTTACCAAATTAAGATCAAGCATTCACTACAGAATTTCACACTAGTTTTCAGAGTCACAGAACTTCAGAAATCTGTGCCTCCTGAGTCCTGCAGAAAGGTTGGCATCATTAATGAAAGAGGCAGGAATGTAATTGAAACTATATTCAATTAACAAAAACCCACAGTAAAAACATGTACTTAACTCATTCGCATAGGCTTATTTTGGAGAATTCTCCCTCAACAACTCAGATTAGCCATTTGACATAGAAGGTAACAGAAGGGCTTGTTACCTCATGAGTCTGAGCATATACCCAGCTGTTACATCTGTATAACACCCTATCACCCTGGCCTTTGATAAACTACTTCTTCCCCTTTTTATTCTTAGGTCCACTCTGCTACTTCCTTGGCTTTGATTCTCCGCTATCTTGCCCCTGGCATGACCACTTATACCTGAGCAAAGCAAGTACAAAGGGTCTGGAAAATATTAGCACGTCAGAACTTTGCACAGGTGTAAGTGATTGCACCAGGGCCAAATTAAAGGCATTGTATCTTAACATCCCCCCCCCCGCAACCAAATTCACAACTGGTTTCAACACCCATTGTATCAAAGCACCCTTCCTGCACTGGATGTTGAAAAACAGGTCTGCCCCACCCATAGTCATATTCAACCACCGAGGGGGTGTTCTTAGAAGGGAAGTAATTTCTTTGTATTTGTGCAAGGCCAGGGAGACTTTATAACATTTAGGCTACCCCTTAAAGAAGCATATTGAGAGGGTGCCTTTAAAACATGGGTCTGAACTGCCTCTGTCAGCACACAAGTGCTAATTGGTTCCTTTCCACAATATACGAAAATTTCACAGAGCCAGAGTTTTTCCCTATTAGTTTTTTGTGATAAAATAATAGCACCGTATAGCGCATTTCATCAGTAAATTTCAAAAAGACAAAGCATTGTTACCCCTATTTTACAAATGGCATAAAGAAGTTATGAGATTTGCCCTGTTTCACAAGATTAGTCAGTGGCAGAGCTTGGAATAGTCAACAAGTCATAGCTATCCCTAAGATAGCAGTATTTTCCCTTGGTTTTATGATATCTTCTGTGTGGGAAATCTCAGGAGCAAAAGTAAACCTTTCTGATCAGGTCAGAAGATAATGACTTGTCTGTGCCTTATTAACACTGAGAGTGGGGAGTTTTATTGTTAACTACACATGGTATTTTTCTAATACTTTGTATTTTAATGTGAATGCTAACAAGATTTATAATAGCATTATTTCCATGGACCACAAATGAAATTCTTATCTTGGGGTAACTTGTACTGAGGAGATGGAAGCTTCACAATGGTCAACCAGATGGACTTCCTAAAATAAAATCAATCTAGCTTAATAAGAGGTTGCCTCTCTCCAACCCTTCCTCCTAGGCAGGATCAGAGCTGATTCTGCATTCCTTATGCTTTCCCATACTAAATTTCTGTTCATAGAATCATAGACTTTAAGGTCAGCAGGGACCATTATGATCATCTAGTCTGACCTCCTGCACAATGCAGGCCACAGAATCTCACCCACCCACTCCTGTATCAAACTTATGTCTGAGCCATTGAAGTCCTCAAATCATGGTTTGAAGACTTCAAGGTGCAGAGAATCTTCCAGCAAGTGACCCGTGCCCCATGCTGCAGAGAAAGGCGAAAAACCCCCGGGGCCTCTGCCAATGTGAGGAAAATTCCTTCCCAACCCAAAATATGGCGATCAACTAAACCCTGAGCATGTGGGCAAGACTCACCAGACAGACACCTAGGAAAGAATTCTCTGTAGTAACTCAGATCCCACCCCATCTAACATCCCATCATAGGTCATTGGGCATATTTACCGCTAATAGTCAAAGACCAATTAATTGCCAAAATTAGGCTATGCCATCATACCATCCCCTCCATAAACTTATCAAGCTTAGTCTTGAAGCCAGATATGGCCTTTACTCCCACTGCTCCCCTTGGAAGGCTGTTCCAGAACTTCACTCCTCTGATGGTTAGAAACCTTCATCTAATTTCAAGTCTAAACTTCCTGATGGCCAGTTTATATCCATTTGTTCTTGTGTCCACATTGGTACTGAGCTTAAATAATTCCTCTCCCTCCCTGGTATTTATCCTTCTGGTATATTTATAGAGAGCAATCATATCTCCCCTTAGCCTCCTTTTGGTTAAGCTAAACAAGCCAAGTTCTTGGAATCTTCTTTCACAAGACAAGTTTTCCATTCCTCAGATCATCATAGTAGCCCTTCTCTGTCCCTGTTCCAGTTTGAATTCATCCTTCTTAAACATGGGAGACAAGAACTGCACACAGTATTCCAGATGGGGTCTCACCAGTGCCTCCTTATCTCTACTGGAAATACCTCACCTGATGCATCCCAAGACTGCATTAGCTTTTTTCACGGCCATATCACATTGGCGGCTCATAGTCATCCTGTGATCAACCAATACTCCGAGGTCCTTCTCCCCCTCTGTTACTTCCAACTGATGCGTCCCCAGCTTCTAACAAAAATTCTTGTTATTAATCCCTAAATGCATGACCTTGCACTTTTCACTATTAAATTTCATCCTATTAATATTACTCCAGTTTACAAGGTCATCCAGATCTTCCTGTATGATATACCGGTCCTTCTCTGTATTGGCAATACCTACCAGCTTTGTGTCATCCGCAAACTTTATTAGCACATTCCCACTTTTTGTGGCAAGGTCAGTAATAAAAAGATTAAATAAGATTGGTCCCAAAACCGATCCCTGAGCAACTCCACTAGTAACCTCCCTCCAGCCTGACAGCCATGCCTAGATGATCCTTAACCTCCACTCCATCCTCAGTGTTTAGCGGTCCCACTTCTTCTTTCTTTGTTTTCTTCTTATTTAGATGCCTATAGAATCTTTTACTATTGGTTTTAATTCCCTTTGCAAGGTCCAACTCTACATGGTTTTTGGCCTTTCTCACTTTATCCCTACATGTTCTGACCTCCTCAATAAGGTAGCTTTCCTTGCTGATCACTCCCATCTTCCACTCCTTGTAGGCTTTCTGCTTTTTCTTAATCACCTCTCTGAGATGCTTGCTTTCCCAGCTGGTTCCCCACCCCCTGACTAGGACTATTTTCCCCTTTCTTGGGATGCAGGCTTCTGATAGTTTCTGCAACTTTGACTTAAAGTAATTCCAGGCCTCTTCCATCTTTAGATCCACAAGTTCTTCCCACCTAAATCCTGTAAATCTGGGAAACAAAACAAACCACACCACCACCACCCACAGCAAAACAAACCCCCAACGAGCACCAAAACACTGCTAGATCACCGCACACTCCCTTCACTAGCCTGTCTGTTCCTCTGCCTGCCTCTTAGTCTTGCCCCCAAACTCCCCTTGCAAACTCCCACTCAAACTCCCCTGTTTACAGCTCTGTTTGCTGGCTCCTGTGCCGCTGCAGCTGTCTGTCTGTTGACTTAAATAGGAGTATTGGGGATGCAAGGAACGTGGGTTTGAGCACGCAGACCTCCTAGATTTGAGAGAGGTAGATTTCCCTGCTGACTAATGAAAAAGAGTACTTTTATCCATTTATTTTGGAAAAAAACTCCCCTTTCAAAGACTTTATTTTATGTACGAGATATAATGCTAAACACTCCACATTTACCTGAGAAACCATTACTACTCTCCCTATTCTCACCCTGAGACTCAGTCTCTTACCAGAGAAAGGAACATAAGAACGGCCATACTGGGTCAGACCGATGGTCCATCTAACCCAGTATCCTGGCTTCTGACAGTGGCCAATGCCAGGTGCATCAGAGGGAATGAACAGAACAGGTAAGTGATTAATCCCCAGACGCCCATTCCCAGCTTCTGGCAAACAGAGGCTAGGGGCACTTCAGAGCATGGTTTTGCATCCCCGCCCACCCTGGCTAATAGCTACTGAT